TACGCGCTCTTCCTCCCGTTGTCAAGCGTCGGTCGGGCTGGCGCATACGCTCCACGTACTTTCTAGCTCGTAGTCAAGCGCTGAGCTAGCACATCACTATACCGGCGCCCTCGAGCTCGGGCTACGTGATCTCCCTCTCATTGTCGAGCGCCGCTCATACTGGCTCATTCTTTCTCTGGTCACGTCGTCTCTCTCCGGGTGCGACCTTCTCGTCTCTCCTCCCTCTATCGCCCTCTTCTTCCCGCAACTCCCTCCCTGCCGGGTAGAAGTGTCGTCATATATAGTCCGAGCTCCGACGAAGCCTTTGCCCACACCGAGCGCCCGTTCACTCCTGTCCTCACGCGCGCGCTTTCTCTACGTCCTACTCCTGAATGTTCGCCAGCTGACAAGCTTTGAAGCTAGTTTCCGCTTGGCCCGCGGGTCGACCGAGCGTCCCGGCGTGCGTTCCTGGTACCCCGTGCGTGCCTGCCTCGTGCGAGATCACACCTGCGAGCCAAACTCGCGCACTTCCCCCCTCCTCTCTCTCCCTGTCTCCTTCAACCGCGAGAGCCCCGTAGGGACATGGTTGGTGGTCTCTCCCTCCTCCCCTACCTATCTCTCTCTTTCTCCCGTCTCTCTCGGCCTCCCTCTCTCTCTCTCGTCTCTCCTCCCTCTATTGTGCGCAGCCCGTAGGGTCGAGCGAGGCCGGGCGCAAGTGCGTTCCCGACGCCTCTACCCGTGCGCGCCTCTCTCGCGCATCCCGTGCGCTTCCTCCCTTGCTCAGATCTCGTCTGCGCTAATGACCTCCGACGAACGCGCAAGTGGGCACGAACTCTCGTGCGCTCCCCCTTTTCGCTTTCTCTCGCCCCTTTTATACTTGCTCCAATCCCTCTCTTGCATCATCCGCACCTTTCCGTGGCTCGACTTCTGGTTCGCAAGGCGCCAAAAGGTCAAAATTTTCAACCATTCTCCTTCCCGCTCCCACTTTCGTCCTTCCTCCCGCTTTCGCTTTCCCTTCCTCCCATCATCCGCCTTCTCGTCTCTCCTCCAATGGGATCCTTTCCTCCTCCACTCGCGGGATCGATCTCGACCAGCATTGTGACTTCGATTGCACATGCTTCCCGCGTCCTCCCCCAACCCCTGTTTAGAGGTACTTACCCCAAACCGTCGGTCCGCAGGTAGTCACGCTTCCAACGTTCGACGCTTCAACGGCCCTCCTATCCGACTCATTGGCTGCTTCTCGCGTCACCGCTTCTCGGGCAGTTATCAAGAAGCCCGAGGCGCGCGCGCCTCGCCGGTTCACCAAGGCATTCAAGCGTCGTCCTCCAGCTAACCCGTTCACACGTCTCCGAAAGAGGTCCTCTTCACCTTCCCACTGTTAGTCTAGTGCTGACAGATCGCCCCCCCCCCGAGTCTCGCGTTCAAAACATGGCATTGCCGCATCTCGTTTCATAAAAACCATCCAGTTTCCACCCCAGCTGCTGGCCAATCGTACGGTGCTGCTAAGTTTCTTGCGCGCGCACCTTGGGCCGTGCTCTGTTACCATCAATTCTTCGCCAGACCTTTCTTCGACGGTCGCTTCCCCTCCCCTTCTCGATCCTCCTTTCCCCCAGTTCAGCCAATCCCTGCGCACCACGCATAGCCTTCTCTTGATCCCATTCACCTGCACGAGCCATTCTATCGCCGGCCTTTTTCTCGAATGCACCTGTCCCGCCGTGCGGCCAGGTCCCTCCATCCTCGCCTTGCCCTCTAAGCTTCAACAGTCATCGATAGAAGCGCGTGTGCGCGCTTTCTATCAACCATTTCGTCACGCAGGCTTTCTTGATCTTTCTCCTCGTGGCCATCTTTCCTGTCTGGCCCTTTCTCTTCCCGCTCGTGCACCTGGTCGTCCCGTCCTTCAATTTCATCCTCATTGCTTGGCGTCGAGGACTTTCTTCGGCCAAGCAATCCTTCTTCGGCCAAGCAAACCTTCTTAATACAGGGTCGGCCTTTCCCATGAGCCTTCCTTGCTCCGGCATGGGAGAAAAACACGCTTCGTTCCCCCCCCTCCCCAGATCGTCGGTACTCATGACCTCTGCATGCCAGCCATCACCTACGCATCACCGTATCGACCCCTTCCTTTCCTTGACTGGTCCAGGTGTCTTGCTCAGCTCAAACCCAGGCCGGCCTTCCTTAGTTTGTATACGCCCTGCCGAAATCCTGGAGCCTGGACCACCCCTTGCTCGCCGGCACCGGTCCCTGATCCCTTCCCCCGGTACCGAATCTCCGATCTCCAGCAACCGCCCAGGACTGCTTGCGGCCTTGGTTCGAGCCGTCGCTCCTATCCATCGAAAGCAGACCAGAAAACTCACGTCACTTATAAAATTTCACAACCACAGGCATGCACACGTCAAACCCATACAAAACAGCAAAAGAAAGTTCAAAGAATTTCCGGATTTCAAAGGAGCTCCGGTCGCTAGGCGGCCGCCCAACAACGTGAGAAGAAAACTTGGAAGGCCACTTCCGGAAACCTTCTGGAAGTTTGCGGACTTGGCCTTTCAGAACTGTAGCAGCTATGACCTTGACCTTTCAGGACTGTAGCAGCTACGACCTTGACCTTTCAGAATTGCTACAGCTACGGACTCTGCGCAACTATGACCCCTACTCGACAGACCTACAGATCAAACCCCCACAGCTACACAGACCTACGACAGACTACAATCATCTACCGAAACACAGGTCACGGGTTCAAACACACACGGGTCGACTCGATATTGTACATGGGTGAGGCAAGGTCTGGGGATCGAGCCCTGGGATACGCATCTGCAAAAGGTGAAAACCGTTTCACTTGTGTTCACTTTCACTAGTGTGCAACATTTAGGGTGCAGGGTTGGGGCCACTGGTGGGGGCCCGGCGGACACAAGGACCGAGCATTTGCCAGTAGCTGCACCTCCCTTTTCATCTTCCACCACCCTCATTGAGTAACAGCAGTGTCAAGGGCCAACACTCTCCCACACACAGCAAGCAACGGCGGACACAAGGACCGAGCATTTGCCAGTAGCTGCACCTCCCTTTTCATCTTCCACCACCCCCTGAGTAACAGCAGTGTCTAAGGCCAACACTCTCCCAGACACCACTCACAACCCACTCACAAGCAGTGCCAACCAACTGAGATAGACAGCTGGATCCTCCCGGTCGGCATTAGTGCGGTCATCCAATCCGCATAATATGAGCCGCCAAACATGCCTCCAAATACTCCACATGCCGCCACCCACTCCACATGGCACCGCCCACCCCACATGGTATCACCCAGGCCACATATAGCGCCCCGTCCACATGGTAATCCTTGGTCGTGCAAGGGCTGAGTTGTGCCTAACTTTGGCTGGGTGTTTTCTTTTTCTTCTGGTTTGGCCACGAGTCATTCCAGATACATCTGGGTGAATGTTGAGTGCAGAGAGGCCCATGGTCTTCAATCAGGAGGTGACTTTGTTTCTTTTTTGGCTAAAGCGTGTTCTTTTTGGGGGGGAGGGCACATGAATGGCAGAGGAGGAAGCAGGAAGGGTTGGAATGGCACAAGATGAAGGAGGAGAAGACATGCCAGAGGAGGAGGAGGTGCAGGAGCAGGAGGACGAGGGAGAGGAGGAGGAGGAGGAACTGGAGGTGGCAGAGGAGAACACGACACAGGAGAGGGTGCTTGCCAAGGAGGAGGATAGGGGAACGGGGTGGAGAGGAGGTGGCAGAGGACGATGTGGAGAAGGAAGTGATGGAGGAAGACGAAGAGGAGGGGGAGGTGGTGAAGGAGGACGAAGAGGGGGGGGGGAGGTGTGCTCCGAGGGTGATGCCGCGGCAGGCAACCGATCGTTCAATTAGAGGGGATAGCTTAGCCCTTTGTATTCTTATGTCCAAACAGGATGTGAACTCTGGCCTGATTATTCTTGGTTTTTGCCTTCGGGTGTGTAGCATTCAGCCAAAAAGGAGGTACCACCGTTTCTATACCTTGTGGACAGTCATGCGGACTCCAAAAGACAATGCTATCATCCACATGATCGCAGGGCATGATTCACTGAAATATGTCTTACCTTCCTTCCTCACTCCGAAAAATTGCTTCTGTCCGGTCATGGTTGGGACTGCTTCCCTCTGGGCAGAAACGAGTTATTTCTGCTATCGTTATTGTTTGAATTTTGATCAATTAGTCATTCACTTCCACCAACCACCTCTCTCCTCCTCTCCTGACATTGGCATTGAAAATGGGAGTGCTTGACTGATGAKTGTCAATGCTTCTCATCGAACAGCTGCTGTGATAGARCCCGACATCKGACATCCGACAGACTCACCTTCAGCTGCTACGGTMCCTGCCACAGTCCTTCCTGGGGCAGCTGTGTTCGAATTGATTGACCACCCACTGATGATGGATCAGCAGAAACACACCGGGAGTCCAAAGGCCAGGAGGGGAACGGACTTCAAATCAGGAGTGCCACTTGCCACGGCCCTACATTACTCAGGCCTGAGCAGTTTCTTTCAACTTACTGCAATCTCTCCATTTCTGTAGCAGCTCAGCGTTCCAGTGCAAGCTGTACTCTGACCATCTTTCGCACACACTAGGTCAGGAAGGTTGATGAATCAATCAACTGTCTTTCACTGTTAGGGCGCATTTTCTACCCTTCCCCACTGGTGTCCACATTCCCCTCTTCGGCAAACTCCTTGCAAATGACCTCTGTACCCTGGAACTTCACCGGTGCCATACAGTGCAGTAAGGAAGCAGCATAATCAAAGCTGCAACTTAGTAAGTTGAGTCCATGTAAGCGTACCTGATCACGAGCTTCATCAACAATCTCCTGCTTGGCATGCACCTCCTCAAGCAGCCTCAGCGCCTCTTTCTCTCTTTCCTCAACATCATCACTCAACCGTGAAACCTCCCCTTCCAACTCTATTAGTCTTCCCCTCAGATTCCTCACAATTCCCTTCAGCTCCTCAACTTCCTTCTCTCTATCTGCCAACTCAGAGTTCCAGCCAACCCCTTGCTGCTCAAGTTCCTCCTCTTGCTTCCTACCACTGATAGCCTCGTCAAATCTTCTGGAGATCTCTTGCAAGCTTTCCCGCAGTTGTGACTCTGTTTCTCTCAACTCTTTCACCTCCCTCTCCCTTTCTCTCCTTTCCTTCATCATTTTCTGCTCTGCTTTGGCCAGCTCTTCCTTCTTGGCAGCAATCTCAGCACGCAGTTGTTCATTTGCTGCAATAACCTCCTCCACATCACTCTTCACATCGTCCATCTCTTTCATTTCCTGTGATTGCACTGCAGAAAGTGATGCCTGTAACTCCTGTCTCTCTTTGTCAACTTCTTGCAGCCTCAGCTCAAAAGTCTTCACCAGATTTCTGAGCTCTTGAATCTCTTTTTCTTTGACCTCAATCTCTCTTCCGTAAATCTTTTCGTCAGATCTGGACTTCCCTGACAATTGTTGCCTGTCTTGGTCACCGTCTAGAGATCTTCTCCCCTCAAGACTCTGCACAGATGTCCTCCGTTTAAATACCTCAGTATCGTCCTTGTCTGCTCTCTCTCTTTCCCTTGGTTGATCCTCAGAAAGCGATGCCCAAAGTTTCTGCCTCTCTCGATCACCCGCCAACAGTCTCTGCTCCAGACTCTTTACTACATTTCTCAACTCATCTACCTCTTTTTTCTCATCCGCTATGTCTCTTTCCAGGGACTGCTCTCCAGAGAGGGTCTCCCACAGCTCCTGCCTCTCTCGTTCGCCCTCCTGCAACCGCTGTTCTAGATTCTTTACCACACTTCTCAGCTCATCTACCTCCCTTTCCTTGGCCTCTATCTCCCTATCCCATGACTGCTCGCCAGAGATCGACGTCCATAACTGCTGCCTCTCTCTTTCTCCCTCCAACAACTTCTTCTCAAGGTCTTTAACCTCGTTTTTCAGTTGCTCTACCTCTTTTTCCTTGTTCTTCATCTTATCATTCAACTTTTCACCTTCTTGTCTTGCTCTGCTAAGCTCCTCTTTCAGCTTCTCCTCCCCAACCGAAAATCCGGCCACCAATGCCATAAGCCTGCGATTTTCCCTCTCCTTGGCCTCCATCAGCAATTTATCTTGCTGCATCTTCTTCTTCATGGAGTCGATTACCTCCCCTCGTTCATCACATAGACACTGCACAGACACTAGAGTTTCTTTTAGCTGAGCTTCCTGTTTCTCTCCTACCTGATCTATCTGTTGGCGACTTTCTGGACCCTCCTCTCCCTTCCCAATCAGACCGGACATAACCTGTGGATCCGGGACAACCTTTTCCCTATCATTTCCCTCGTTCCTTGCTGCTGCCAGTTCCTCTTCTTCTCGAATCCTCTCCCTTCCATCAAATTTAGAGCTTCTCGTGTCATCTAGCTTGCCATACAGCCGCCTCCTTCCATCTTCTATCCTAGTTGCCTGCTGTTTCACCTGGGCGACCTCCATCTCCGCAGCTTCCTGTGCCACAGTAAGTTCCTGCTCTCTCTTCTCTGCCTCTTCTTCAGCCTCCCTCCGCACCTTCTGTGCTTCTCTCTCCACCCTCTCGTCCCATTCTTTCCTCATTGTTTCAATCATGTCCTTCGCTRCGGCAATTTCATGAGCCTTGCTCTCCATTTCCGTTGCCAGGCCCTCCACTAAAGTGCTCTTCTCTTCTTGCAGTTTSTTTACCAGTGTCTGTAGCACGGCCATTTTCTTTTCCATTTCTTCCTTCACCTCTTCCTCCCTTTGCTCTCTTCTCTGCCTTTCTGAAGCAAGTTCCTCTTCTAACCTTGCTTTCTCCTTCTCAAGAACCATAACCATYCTGCTCTCCYTGTCTTGTTCCAACTCAGAATGCCGATCTCCCTCCTTTGTCTGCAGGGCTTGAATTTCTCTTTCAAGCCTTGCCTTTTCCTCTTCATCTTTCTGGAGCAGCTCTTCTCTAGACTTTACTCTCCTCCTCTCGTCCACAATCATTTGTTCCCTCTCCTTCAGCTGTTTCAGCAGCCTTTCATTGTTCTGCTCAAGTTCCATCACCTGTCTACCTTTCATTTCTGCTGCCTCCTCCTCCCTCATCCTTCTTTCCACTTCTTCTGCTAACATGGTTTGAAGTTGAGCTCTATCTTGCAAGTGCTGCCTTCTCTCTAGATTTCTCTTGAGAGCATCATCTGGACTACTACTTCTGGAAGTGCGTCCATCCACATGGCAATTCTGCTCACTTTCGTTTGATCTCCTCTTGACAGCAAATGATGGTTTGTAACTCCTCCAATCCCTTGTGGAAGGCCGACCAGCTTCTACATCTCCTTCATGCGCTTCCCTCCTCCTATTGCCAACTTCCAGCTCATGAGCATAACCAAGGCCAATGTTTCCAGAAGAAAAGCCTGAGCTTCCACCATTCCGAACCATTGCATGAGAGTTGTCATCTTCTGAAAGACTCCCTCTACATATCTTTGCTCTTGAGATTACCTGGATCCCTTCACCGCCACTGCCGTTCGAGCCCAACATCATCTCCATCTCACTGCCACCGGTGGTACGGCGATGCCCATTTTGGTCATTTTTCCCATTTCCATTCCAGTTTGTGCATCTTCCATGATCATCATGTTTTCCTCCACCTCCTCCGTCCCCCACTTCTTTCCCCCAATTCCTGTGACGGTCAAGGAGACTACTCAATCTCAATCCTTCTCCTAAAGTTTCAGTGCCGCACAGTGTATGCTCCCTCTTTGTACTCGTTCTTTGATCCCAAAGCCTGGCAATTTGCAGAGCCACATCTTTGGCATTCACCCCAATGCGAGTTGCACTGTAGTTATTCCTCCCTCCCCTCTCTTCATAGGGACCATTCCTTTCACAATCCTTTGGTAATGTGATGTCAATGTCCTCCCTCCCAAGGGAGCCTCCAATACATGCAAGAGAGTCGAGCTTTTGCTTGCTCTCTTCACACAATCTCATGCTCTCTTCACATAATCTCATTCCATCCCCCTTCGACTTGCTGCTTCCTGAAGAAGATGTGTACGCATCCAAAGAAGTGTCCACTCCTATCCCCGCTCTGCCAATTCCTCTCCTGTTGTTTGGCCTGTAACTCTGGCCATTCCAAGAGCTTTCCGGATCAAATTTGATCCAGCCATGGCCTGTTGACATACAGGAGCCCTCACAGACTGCCAATGGATCTTTATGTGAGACCTGTTGTGCACCTCGGTAATTCGTACCTTCCGCCTCCTCCGCCAGGAGGCCTCCCTTGGAAATCTTTGTGTGCACCAGGAGTTCATGTCCCCTTCCACTATGAACACCATTGTCCAGCTCTTGTCTCTCATACTCTTTTCCTCTCTTTCCAGTGCCATCCAGGCAGATATCGCTGAGCACATGAGGGTCTTCAATGCTCAAGGATTTTCTCTGATCAAGCCCTCTGCTTTTCAGTACTTTCATGAACTCCCTATGAGCCATTCCCACAATTGAGTGCTGACATCAGGGCCAGGTATGATGAAGCATGGTTCCCCCTGTCATGCCAACACTCCAACTGTTCTGCAGGTGGACAATCCACACATAGCTCCACACCAGTGATGACTTCATTCCTGGACACACCAATGCACCCTTACACCCATCCACCCAAAAATCGTCACATGAAGCACAAGCAGCAGCAGCAGCAGGAGGAGGAGGGGAAGGAGGAGGAGAAGGAGGAAAAACACATTCACAGGATTGGTCCCATGGAAGAATATTCTACATTATACCCACAGTCCTTCTGACAGCTAGAATCACAGATGTGATCACCTCATAGCCAGTTATTGTTGCTGTATGTGGCACAACAGTTGCCCTAATGCTCAGGTGTTCTATTTGGGGAACAGCAGGCGAGCTGCGCACTCTGGCATCTGCTTGCTGACCTATGTGTGCACCTCTGTCCTGGCATGATGCATGAAGGCAAACATGAAATAAAGGGTGTGAATGGAGGGAGGGAAGATTTCTATATAAGGCTTGGGTCAAAGAAAAATGCACCAGCATTCTCCAAGAGGGGCCGAGGGTAGGACCATTCCTGTGGGCATTTTGTGCAGCTGCTAGACGTACGACCCATTTCACTCTGAAATTTATGGCACAACTTACAGGCACTGTCCACCACTGGATCAGAAATGCAGCAAGAAGGTTTTTATTTCCCACAACTGGAGGCCTGGCTTTCACACCCTCAAGCATAGGCCAAGGGAAGCCCGCATACAGTCAATGCATACCGGAACAACGTGTATCCAACAAGCACTCTCTGTCAGTGGACATGACCGCATGCATCCACTCAATAAGATAGTTGGGCATTAATGAAGGATACCTATAATGAAATCAGAATCGCTTTCTTTCACACTTTGCATACATGCAAACAGATGGAGATTTCACACTGGCGCTTGGCGTCCACTCAAAACTCAGAGATATGGTAACCAGGAACACAGTTCGGATCCAAACTAACAATAACAGGCTATGGCGCATCAGCGCCTGCACATCCAACTCTCGTCACTGTGTCCAACACCACTGTTCGCACACACTCCACTTAGGATCATCCTGGATATCCCACACGTACTCACTCTGTATCTTACACACACACACACAACTCTATCTACAGCTATGGCGGTGAGCTTGGACTAGCAACTCACTGCAGTCGCACTGCAGTCGTAACGCAGTAGGCTCACCACTTGCCCACTTGCCCACTTACCTGTCCTTCTAGAAGGGCTACAGCTACAACTTCTGGAACTCGCTAGGACTCCTATCCGACAGCAGATGACTGCACGTATTTGTTGACGTCGTGAAGGACATCTTCCCAGTAAAAATGCTGACGGAGACGTGCCAAAGTACGGGTGACGCCAAGGTGTGCCGAGAGTCGCGAGTCGTGGAATTCGCCAAGAAGGCGAGTACGCAAGATGCGATCGCGCGGCACGCATAAAAGTCCTTCCCTCG